AGATTCTGCTATTGCTGATTTTGTCCTCTCGGGGTCTTGCACAAATAAGTAAAATCACAGCTCCCAGAACTTATATGCTAATTTTTATACCCACGTCACTGCCAGCACTCTGGGGAATTTGAAAAGAAATACTCAGTATGTAATAGTCAAAACTGCAGTCAGCCCACCAGAAGAAATTACAGCTATGGTACAATGGAGATAATTCTGAAGAATTAGCCTTTGTCTTCATACCATTTTTCAATATCTTAGTTTTCAAGTAAGTCAACTTACTTGAAAATAGGTGACTGATTAGCCTTGGAAATATAAAGATCAATTCTTTTTGATGGCAACACCATTCTCTTTAAGTCACAAAACCCTATACCAACAAACAAGATGCAGGCATTTACTTTAGACTGACTGTGGCAACTGAAAAATGTTTAGGCTTTGGAAAATAATTTTATAACCCAGAATAATACCCTGAGATGGAGAATGCAATGTTACTCCCATGCACACCATACTAATTTGATGTGAACAAAATTAGTACTCTAGGGCAGGGGAGGTATGTCCCCACCAGCACTGTCCCTGCTCTCTGGTGGGGAAGGCAAAACATGCTTTACCAGACTTGCTCTGGTATGCACATTAAATCCAATGAAAGCAATGAAGCCTCTGTGGCAACCTTCTACAACCTACAAGTTTTCTCACATTTTCATGGAAAAGTTATCTCTGACATGGTTGGCATGTAAACATTTTCCAGTGGGATTTCCACGGAAACAGTAAAAACTGTGCACATGTGTACGTATGCGTGTGTGTGTGTGTGCGTAGGTGGGAGGAGAAGGTGTTATCTTCAGATTGGAAACTATTTTTAGGTAAGCCACAGGTTAAAACTACTATAAAATGCTTATTAAGAATGTGGTAGGGATGGGGCAGGGGTAAGGGACACAACTGGACTTCTCAGAAGAATAATTCTCTGAAGGGCACCATATAAAATATTTAATGAGATAGTAAGTATCCTTTTAGTCTTCTTTCATTTTCTTACACATTCTTGGTAGCAACCTGAATTTTTATGTAAGAATCTTCTTTGTGGCAACCTGCTAAAGGTTAAGAGACAGAATGCCATAAGCAGAACAAAATCCCCAAGGAAGATGCAATATTCAGCAGAAGGGAAGGCTATTTCTGGCTGCAAATAAAGTAGTAATGTCTTAAGGACCGTATCGTGGGAGGAGATATTGTTCCCTGCTGTGCTGGTTAGGGAATGGGATGGAGGCCACAGCCGTCTGTCCTTCTAAGCTGATGATCCCTGTCTCACCAAAGTGTAGGCTGCTTACAGTTGGAGTGGGGTGATATGAGTTACTGTCTGGCACAAATGACTGGCTTCCTGGGCACATTTTCTGGAGAGCCTTTTTGTATTTCTGCAAGCACCATTAGGACAGATTTTTTTCTTGTTGCTCGAGGGCTTGACTTAGAAAGAGGACACCTGAATTTCCCTGGAGGAGAGTGGAGTAAGAAGGATGGAGGTAAGGTCCTGGGCCTGGGAAAAAAAGGAAAATGAAGACAGTGGAGTTTGGAAGACACAAATAAAGAAATTAAACCAAAAAACTCTCACAAATTAGGTGAAATAGACCTAGTTCACGACACCTTGCAGAAGACATTAATTGACAGGGTTCTCCACTGTCTTGTGTGGTGTTTCAGCCTTGTGTAAGTGGAATAGAAGGAAAGGAGGAAAGAATCCAGAAAAACATATAAAGATGACCCAAAAAAGCCCAAAAAGAAATGAGGAGAGGTATAAGGAAAACTAAATCATTCCAATTTGAGTACTACACCTTTTAAAAATAAGTTTATTTTATAAGTATATGAAAAGAAAAAGATATTTTTTCTCCTTTTCTTGCAGTCTTAGCCTGAGACTTTCTTTTTTACAAGCTCAACTTCATAACTTTAAAATAATAAGGGGTTTATAAGCATTTAGATGCATATTCTAGTTTTACTAGCAGAACACAGAATATTGAATGTACTTATTTTCAGACAATTCTAAGTCCAATATAAAGACTGATATTATAATGTGCTTGTGTCTAGGGACTTAGACCCAGGTGCTATAATTTGCATCAGTGCAAAACATGAAAAAATTCCCAGAAATATGACCATGATTGTTTTTGCAAGAGGGGAAAGCATGAAGACCATAGTAGAACTTAACAATGAAATTAGATCCTTATGCAGATCTTCTGTATTCTCACTGCAAACATCGTTTAGGATGACCTGGTATGTGAGTATACCAATTGCATATCCCACAGTTTTTAGGACAAAATTTTTCCCACCCAAGGTGTATTTGAAGTTTTGTTCATCCATATTGACGTGTCTCTAATTTTCTCAGTTATAAATTGCCATTACTACTACATGAAGGCACTAATGGTAAGTTTTTTTAAGACATTTATCCAGCGCTTACGGATCACAAAACCATACTGTTAGACTATACAAGTGGAAAATTGGAGAGAAGGAATTTTATGCTATATTTCCAAATTCTGACACCACAGCATCACTCCTTTGCATTGGAGTAAGGAAAAATCACCAAACCTTTGAGCCACCTGATTGAATTCTACTTAGGAACAGAACCAAATAATGTTGTCAGTGTAAAATGGAGAACATTCTGTTACAAAAAGATCAAAACTAAAAATCATTTGTAGGTCAAGACTGAGCTGTAATGAGCATGTTCTTGTTGCCCAGTTTTAATGAGTGAGTTTTTGAAAGAGAAGGAGAAACTACTGATGAGAGCTGGCTGCCATACAATCCTGTGCCTTCAGTATTACTTCTCAAAATGTTATTAGGGGATTGTTACTTTTTTCTTGTGACAGTAGACATCTGTAATCCTTCCATGCAGATTGATAGAGCTAAATCTGCACTCACTCCTCCACCACTTAAAAACCTCCCTGATTGCTCCTATTGTGTCATTAAGGATAAATAATGTATCCCACCTCTAAGACATAAGAATCGTTGTTCAGAATGTCCTAATACTTGCTGAAATTAACATAAAAGCTCCAAAACCTGCCTCACTGCAAGTTTAAAATGTCTAAAGGGAGATGAAAGGAAGATATTGCTGAGTAATGTACTCTTGCAATAAGTTTCCCTTCTTCCCCTGCAGTTGCTTGAAATTGAAACCATTGTCTCTAACGATGAAACTCTGTGGCCTTGCAGGTTTCTGAGTAGACCTAGGAAATGCTTAATTACAATGTAAAAAGATAGCATGTGGACACTACTGTGATATGTGATTGCTTAAGGTTGCCTTTTCTTACTGTTTTCACAGAACAATCTCAGTGGAAAAACATCTCACAAAGCAAAACTGGTTTCCTTCTTAAGCTACTGAACTCTATTAGAGTTTTCATGTATCTCACAGACTAATTTACATAGTAAGTTATACCAGGCTATGCCATCCCTTACGGACCTTTGAGAACAAAAGTCTAAAAGTCACTCTGCTTTGGACTTTGATTCTTTTTTTCCATTTTTTTTTCCCACCTGAATATAAAAAATAGTCTAAAGACATATTTCACTACAGTTGTGAGCCAGGACTCTCAAAAGAGAATCCAAATGGATCTGAAATTTGATCTTTCCTTACCTTAAAATGTTGTGTTGAAGTGTAGTGCTGAGAGTTTTTGTTATATAGATTTTACTAACCTCATTTATATAAAAGTAATGTTCTGTTGGGCTGACAAGGATCTTTAAGTGTCATGATAGTCTGAAAATTCAGATTAACAGAAAAGGTAATTGAATGTTCTACTACACCCTCCTTTCCTTGGGTGACTCATTACAATTACTGATCATTCATGATATCAAAAACTATCCATCTCTTTTAGATCCTTGATTCTGATTCTCAGTTTCAATTTCTAGAGACAGAATTACTGCAAACAGTGAAGAATTAAAGCCATCTGCTAATACTTGGTGCACTAACACACCAGTTGGCCAGAATCATCTTGTCATTTCTCTATCTCCAGCTGTGTAAAGCGAATACAATCTTTTCCCAAAGATTCACCCTAGTGCACATCACTGTGGGATTTTTTTTTCAAGAAAACTGGATAACCTCTCCCTGTTTTAAGTATGTTTCAGAACAAAATAAACTCCTTGTGAGGGATATTTGTCTTTAGGAAAAAGCCAAAAGACATAAACACACTCTATTACTTGTACGCACCTGATTTTTCCTTTGCAGAACTTTTCAAGGAAAAGATTTTACTTACTTGCTCAGATCATGAAGGAGGCAATATGATCTCTGATTTGAAGTAACAATATTGTTAAACCATAAATAAACCAAACCAAATAAAATATCAGAACTTAACCCTGATATGACTCAAAACAAACCATGGCCATTTCACAGCTCATCCCACTTTCAATAAGTGGAAGTCATTTTATGTCATAGATCACTGCTCAGCCATCTCCTGCAGTGTTCGTCTTTTGTCACTATACCCTAGAAGTCTAAGAAGGAAACTGTGTTATAAAAGCTTCTGCGTCAAGGATTATTTTTACAAAACTTTCACTCTATGCAGCTTTTGATGTCTGAATCTGAATGAGCAATATACTGCTATCTCATTCAGCCTAATGTTTTATTTGTCTCAAGATAACAGAAGGCATGATGGAGAAGCTTCTTTACAGCTCCTCTTTTACAGTGAATTTTTGCTATCCCATGATGCACATCATGATAGCTTCTCTTAGAAGAACAGGTTTTCTGCAATGTGTTTGCAATTTCTATTAGCTATATTTAGGACTGCAAACATATCTAATAAGTAAAAATATGTTTCCTAAAAGAATGCATTCCAGACTACCATCTTACCTTACACTGAAGGGCAGGGGCAGAAGAGAAGAACTTTTATGTATGGTAAACAATACATTGGGTTTAGTTGTAAATGAAGATTAAAGGCATTTTAGACTGTTCATACTAACAGCCTGTTTCTATTAAGATGTTTACTTTCAGTGAAAAGCACAATTAAGCATGCAATATGTTTTTCAGTACAAGAATAAAAAGAAGAATAAAAAAAGTCATTAACCTCTTCTTCAACATTATGGGCGATTCCATTTTGCACTGGTCCTGAATCACTTGGTGGTGTTACTGCAACTTCCACTTTTGCACCTTTTTCCGTGGCATCATCCAAAAATAAGAGTGGGAAAACAACAGATCAGAATATTAAATAACAAATTTGCTAGTGAAACAGCTGTCATATGTCTAGACTAAGTAAATCATCAAATACTAAAGGTGTGACAACATCTGCTTTTAAAAGAGAGAGACAAAAATTTTGTCTTTCATTTGATTAGTACACATTTTGAATAAAAATCTTACGAATGGTGAGCTAGCATTTGAAGAAACTATTTTGTTTGCACACATGCCCTAGAAATATTCAAATGCATTGCAATATTGAGTGCTCTTTGTTATTCATAAACTAACTGAGCCTGATACTTGAGGTAAAAACCGACATAAATCATTCACCACAGACATTCTAAAATGCAACATGTTGCATTTACAGGTGAGGGGATACATTCAATGATAAAACTTCTGTAATGCACTAACCCCTGCAATTAGTAAAGTAACTTCCAAGCTGTAATCTTGCTCTCACGCAAAAATGTGGGAAAAAAGTAAACAGATGCTATAATAACATCCAGTAACAGCAGATGATCTTTAAAACAGAATTCTGTAGTCCTTGTGCTAAACTTGTACTGGAATTAAAGGGATAAAGTTGGGCCTTTGATTTCTGATGCCAAATTTATTCAAATTTATTCTTACTTTGACTATCTTGGAATTCTCTAAGCAGTAATTACCTCTTTAAGTATGTACTACATAAAAATGTCAGTGGCCAAAAATCCCTTAGACAATATAAAGTAAAACAGAATTGCAATATGAAATCTCTAACTCAATTTCAACGTGCCTTATGGTATGCTCTTGTGCATAGAAGTAAATACAGCTGTCTAGTTACATTACTGCTATCCTGAGATTCTTCTAAATTAAAAATCTGAGATCACAGACACAGCAGAGTGCCAGACTATCTGTAATTATTTCAGTATATGTGTGTTGTCTCTTAACCCCACAGCCAGCATTATGGTTTATTAACAGACTGTCCTATCCAACTGCCTGATTTTGGAAGCAAATTGTATGTAAACATAACACAAAGTCAGAAAAAGTGTCAAGTAATAACATGATTCAGATTTTATTGGACACATTTGTATGTGGTTTTCTAAATGCAGAGAATATCCTGAAGTAAAGTAGAGAAAATAATACATAGAGCAGATTTTCTTTTAGACAAGGAATTTTTGAACTAAAATACAAATTCTTACCTTAATGGAAAACCACAGTAAGCCAATTTTGCACAATTAGCAAAGATGGGCCTAAATGACTCCCAGCAAGCAGTATACAGACAAATCAAATCTTAAATATGAAGGCTGATTCTCTTTGTGACCAGGGTGGTACTACAAAAACCACATATTCTCCTAAAGCACCTCAGTAAATTAATTAAACTTCTATATATAAACTGCAAGTAAGTTTTGCATGTCTATTTCTATCACTTCAACACTTACACAAAATCAGCATTGCTTTTTATTTTCAACCTGCCAAAAGGCTTTCTAAATGCCTTGACTGACTTTCTTTTCTTGTACTCAACTCCTGTCCCATCCATAAATTTCATACTCTTTGGTACAGAGAATCAGAATATTTCTACTAGCATAGCATAAATTATGTAGAAGGATAAATTAATGACTAAGGAATTTCAAACAAAATAAAGCAGTGAAAGTGACTCTCAGGAACAGGTGATAAATCTGTACTGCTGCACTCACCATGATTAGCAGCTCCATTCTGCCTTTCACTGTCTTCCACCTGGCACTTCTTTTTGGCGATCTTATGCAGAATTGAGGCCCTTTCCTTGAACTTTCCTAAAAGAAAGCATTGTCATTATTAAAATGCAGCCATTTTGAGAAGCAAAGTTTCTTTGCCATAGCTTAGACTTCAAAGATCAGTGCTGACAATCCATTTCAGTTCCTCCTGATAGCAAACATGCTATTAAGCACTATCTCATGTTCCCATCTATAGAGGTTTTTTTCTTTTTAATGGAGATATAAATAATCCTCTTTTTTTCCTGAGAATTCAGCAACAAATAGAACAAGAAACTGAAATCAAAAGCTATGATTTTTCTTTGGAAGAAGTCAGTAAAGTTCCACCTATACACATGCTGTTGTAAGAATTCAGCCCAAACAGAAGATGAATACAGATGAATGAAGATAGATATAAACAAACACTAAGTTTCAGTTCTCAGTTAGTAGGATAGTAACACAAAATTTCAGATTAACCCATCTATTGCATCATAGTGACTGTGGTAAAATTTGTAACTTTGCACTCCTCTCTTTGTCTGTGATTTATACAGGTGCTTCAGAAGGGGAAAAAGAAACCTCCAGAATTTCTGATTTTCATATCAGATTCTCAAAGGTAAACTTTCTTCTAAACCTGCCAGGGTTTTCTTTTGTCTCCCATGAGGTTAACCATGCAGCTCATCCTCTACGTTGTCTCCAGGGCAAGACACTCTACCGTAAGAGAAGTCCCAGCTTCTGTCACTCTTTATTGACCACTGAGTCCAAATGACATGTTCAAACTTAGCAATGTCAAAGATGTCAAATATTAAGTGAAATGAATCCTTTCTCTGCACTGGTTGATCTTTCTATGCAAGGACTCTTTGGACACCTCTATGATAGCCTATGTTGGGTCATACTATCTATGAAGACGATGTGTCTGCCTTCATTTATTGTTATCCCCATTGTCATTGCGCTTTTAGTATTTTAAAATATTTTTGAAAGTTCATCTCTTGGCTATCATGCATTATGTTTCTAATTAACAACACTACTGCAACACAGAGTCTGTGGCTCTTTTAATTCTTCATCTCCACTTAAAAAAATGCACTGAAAACTGTTGGTGTCCCTGCAGCAAAACCAGCACAGATTTAAGACCAGAAGATATTTCAACAGAATTATATAATAGCCTAACACTGGAAAGGAGAAGTAAGAAGCCATGAATGAATTCAGTTATGTGGATAACAGTCACTAGTTTTCAAGCTAAAATAAAAGGCACACAATAATAAATCATTAGTCAAGAAAAAAATTCCTCCCCACAAATGTAAGTTTCAAACTCCTGTACACACTTTTGTATGTGAAGAAGCATAGGCCCAGGGACTAGCAGCCAGGAATTATTCACTGGGAAGTGGAAGTAATTTTTCAACAGCAAACCACTTGGAAAGTAATAAAAATACCACAAATATTTAACAAGCAGTTCTTCCTTTCTGCAGTCCCTATCTTTTAAAAAACACATCATGCTCGAAAAAAAAAAATAATTAGCCATTCACAATATTTTGCAAAAATTAATCTTCTTTGGCACCTGGAGTAAAACACCTGCAGAAGAATATCTAAGCACAGAACACAATCATAAATAGCAAAGCATCTCATTATTCCAGTGCACAGGGTCAGATGCAGATGTTTTAGTTAGAAGGGAAGAAGAAACAAAGGGTTAAAGAGGGAAAAAGAGAAGAAAGGGAAGGAGGGAGGGAAGGAAGGAAGGAAGGAAAGAAGGAAAGAAAGAAAAGAAAGGAAGGAAGAAAGAAAGAAAGAAAAGGAAGAAAGAAAGGGAATTGTTTGGGGTATCAGATAAGAGAAAGAAAAAACAGAAAAAATGCAAATCATTATTTCCAAATATTTGAAGCCAAAATGCTAAGAGTCACAGCTGCTCCTAACTTCTTTTGAAATACTGGGGGCATTTAAAAAGTGCTTATCCATAAGAATGTGTAAATACTGACAGGTGCCTGTTGTAATATCAGTTTGCTAAAGGATTGTGTTAGCTTTCAGACTCCAGCTCAGCTTCATGTGTTTGAGAATTCGGCTTGTGATGCCCCAAATACACAAACGCATTTTATGCAAACAATGAAGATGATGCAACTGAGACACTTTCCAAGAAATGTCTGTGGAGCCATTCATGTCTCTTAACTACTCCAGAATACTGTAGAACCTTTCAATTCAAAAGGTTCAGTTTTAAAATACAATTAATATAATGCAGAATTCTATAAGGATATTCTAGTATTTTGTTTGAGATTGTTTGAAACTGTTTAGGTTAGCCATTATTGAACTGAAAAGAAAATGCCTCCACAGAGATTTAGACTGGTTTAGTTTAGCTTAATTGAATATGTCCTCTATTTTTTTCACATTTACAAAAACCTCCCATCATCTTCAGGAAGAATTTCTTACACTGACTTTTAGCAATTTTAAGTTACACTGCTTCATTCAGGACACTGTTCCACAGTTATAAGTTACTATCATAGAAATTAACATCAACATTTGAAATGGAAAATGTATTTTGGTTTATATTTATTTCCCAGTACCTGCATGGTTCAGCTTCCATTGCTTTACATCATTATCTTTCATTTGGTTCACTCACTGTAGGTAACAAGTGAGAGGAAATGATTCAAAGACATTATTGACTATCAAAACCATTAAACTGAGGAAAGCAATAGTACTAGCCTGCATGAAGACTGCAAGATACAAAAAGACAGCAGCCCTATGCCTTCTCCCTCCCTTTCTTGGCCATTTTCCTCCTTTAAACCGAATCAAAACTTGTTGACTGAAGGGGAAGCACAGAGACACCAGGAGAAATGACCAGTTGAGGATATTTCTAAGTAATTCAAATTTTCAGAAAGCCACCAAGAACAATCATAGGCACAGATCTTCTCTCATGTCTTTTTTCTTATCTTTAGATGGGGTTACTAAAATAATCCACAGGAATGTTGTAGTTTCTATTTCTAGAATACTCTAGAGTAGTCTATTTCAGTCTTCTTTAATAGTCCTATGTACTATAGGTTTGACTACCCAATTCTCATAGTAGCTGTTACCATGAGAGTTTAGGTGAATGAAAATCTTTGATTCCATGGACCTAAAGGAGATATATAAAGATAGCTATAAAAAATTCTTAGTTAATCCAGATTTGCTGAACTCCAACAGATTTTGCAGCTCATTTTAGTTCGAAAAGAATGGGGTAGAAGGAAGAGATCAAGGCCAGGTGATTATCTGAGAAGACAAATTAAAACTAAACTAAAACTAAATAAAAAAGTAGTTTTATTTGAATATATACAAACAAATCAATATTGTATAATGTAGATATGCCTTGGTTTGCATGAGTAACTCCAGCTGGCATCAGTTGGCAGAGATTCTCCTCCTGGTAAAGGATATGTTAAAAGCCCATCCTTCATCTACAGGCTAAACTGCAGGCTACAAATTCCCCGGGTCAGAAAAGTCTTCAATTTGATAAGAAAATAGTTAGTCTTCAGAAATTCACTTATTTAAAAAATTCAAGGCTCTACTTAAGAGTCATCTGACCAGTCTCTGATCAAATGAAAATTATTGCATCTATGCATCTACAGCCAAGCTTTCATGAGTCTGAAGATGTCAAATCTGTGGCTGCTGAGCAGTTTGAACTCTATCAGTCCTGCTCATGGCCAGCTGTAGTATACAATTAGTGAGTCACTACTGATCATTTCCAGAAATCCACTTTACATGCTTTCTACTTTAACATTAAGATCATGCAGAAGTATCAAATGAAAACATATGCAGTTTCGTCATGTTTTAGGCTCTTGGTGAAGCACAATATTACTGTGAGGGTCTCTTCCCATCTTGAAGGATGTATTTTCTCTTCCAGGGCCTGACTAATCTAAAATTAATTTAAAGTCACTTCTAGACCAAAGAGAAGCAATCAAAACAACAGAGATCAGTTTCTAAGATGTGGGGCACAATGGCTCTCTGGTCATTAGGCTGTATATAATTATCTATTGCAGCCTAACCACTAATTTTTGTCCCTGATTGTTCTGATGTAGCAGCAAGAATAAATAAGCTTGTGTTTCTCTACTGGAGGACAGAAAGATTACTCCCTATCTCCACTCAGGGCTTAAGGACCTTGACTTAAAGATGTACTTTATTAGAAAAAAAAAAAACAAAAAAACAATGAGTTTGTACTTGGATTTATGTGTTCCTGTGACTAAGTTGCTGTACAAAATATATAAAAACCTCAATCAAAAAAGGAAGAGAAAGAAGAAAATGGGTAATGCAAATAAGTGTGATGCAGACTGGTAGTGATTATACTTCTGAAAATCAAAACACAAAGTACAAAACATAGCATACTTTGATGGAACTACAATTTCTGGTATACACTATTCACTACTTGTTTTATGAAAGACAAGTGAAAATTATGAAAAGAGTTGTTTTGGGGAAGGTAAACTATTATAGACTCTTGTATTAGTATTTCTAAAGACAAAGAGCTTCCTGTTTGTTTTTGCTTCTGGATTTTTGCTGTTGCTACAGTATGGTCCTGAATTATTTATTCATGAGAAGTGCTTTCTGAGATGACATTGTATATTAACAGCAGTACTTCTGCATAGGTACAGTAATAATAGATATATATGTATGTATCGTAACTTGGTGGGTGTTTCCGCACAAATAAATACATGAAATTGTCAATAGATATTTATGAATTTCAGAAGGCTACTTTTGAAATAGTAGATTTAATACTTCACCAAAAAAGTTAGAAATCTTAAAATATCCAGTTTTAGGGCTACAGTGAGAAATTACCTTTGCATTTTCATTGTAATGAAGACTGAGATGAAACTTACTGTAAAAGCTTTTGCTCTGGTAGCCATATCTGAGTGGCCTAGGATAATGGCTCATTTCAGGTTCTTGAGAGGTGTATTTTAGCAACAGAGGCATCACTGTTTGCCTGGTTAAATCTTCTCTCAGATATCTTTTCTTATATTGGTGCCACCCCTATTACTAGATACTTAATCTGGAAAACAGAGGGCAGTGAGACAAGACTGCTCTATGAGCTCAGGCCTGCCTCAGGAGAGAACAGCGTCTTTCAACATCAGGCACAAAGGTAAACAGAATTGTCTTCCACAGACAGCCCCAGAAGAGTGTGGTTATATTGGTGTATCCGCAACAGATACAGAAGATGGGAAATAGCTAGAAGTTATTACTTCCCACCCTCCTGACCTCAACCCAAGAAATGATTATTAGTAAGTCATGTAATGAAGGTTGTCTTAAAATCTTCAAGATTAATCTACTAATTGTGTTTTCAAAAACAGAGAATTAAACTATTTGCCTCAAATTCCCAATATTAAGTAGGAATAGGTGGCTAGACTTCTCTACAGGGCTCAAAATTATTCCCATCTGCAAACATGGTGCTAATTACTAAACTTAACATAATGAAAACATCTGTCTGGCATTATAATCAGAGAGCTGGACAAGAGGCCTTTATCCTACAGACAATCAGATCTCAGTTCAGGGATAATTCCAAACCGTAGTAATGCTGACTGCACTAGGACTGAAAACATGTGTCGGAAATTTAGTGCACATTTAACCGCTTTCCTGAATTAGTATAACAAAATTGCAACGCTTTTGAATCAGCAGAAAATTTTCCCAAGACTTCATTGAGCCCTGATTCAGACCCTAATTACTTCCTTCTTGTACTGCTAGAATCAGGATTTAAAATTGCATATTTTTTGCACTGCAATTAAATATACTCGAGGAATAAGCATGCTTAGTTTTTAAAGTTTGTTCATTACTTTTAAATAATACAGTAAACTGAAGTCACTTTGCAATTGTTCTCCAACTGAGTGGTCTGAACACCCACAAATTAATTAATCTTCTTGAATGCATTGTAAAATATGGCATCAAATAAGCATCTACAATCTATATTATTTGGCACCACATAATTTGGGAGTATGGTTCTGCATGTATGTTCTTTACTAAAAGCATTCCATTGTATTTCCTTATCTGAAATAGCAAAACTGAAATGTTGAAAATAAAAACCTTAAAAAAGATTCATAACAGATTGCACCGTCAATGAAGACATGCAAAAAGGAGTTATTCAAAAATGGAAAAACTAAAAATAAACTAAGAAAAACAAAGAAAAAATGAAATACATAAAAGAAGCTCAAGGGGCTTCAAAAAAAGCTGATACAAACAATTCTAAAATATTTCTTACCTTCTTCAGTCATTGTGTCATAATATTTTAGGTTTCCATATGATCCAAGCTCTACAACATCACAGTAAAAGACACAAAGATAAGGAACCAGCAGACATTCAAGATATGTACATGTTTTTGCATGTGCTTCATAAACTTGAACAGTGATTATGCAAAACATTCTGCAGGACAACAAAACACAGGTTACAGAAACAGCAGTGCCTTTCCTCCCAGAAATTTCACAAGTCACTGACTTTAGGTAAGTGTTAAACTTCTTAGTGAGATGTAGGAGAACCACTGACATCTAAAATGTAGCCTTTTCATGGTTATTGCTGCTTTGGTGCCTCTGCATTTGGGAAAACATAATGAACTTGACAGTGCCTAGTCAGCAATAATTTTGCAAACTAAGCTCTTTTGTCATTCCCCAAGTCAGCCATTCAACTACTTCTGTATAAAAATTTTAAAAAAAGTCTCAAAACACATAACTTAAGAAACTGTCTGTAATGTTGTCCCACAAACATTGTTTTGATAGCAGTGCTGATGTTGGCTTGCTTTAGAGGGGTTACTTTAACCACTCTCTTGTCACTTGTGTAATCAGAAAAAGATCATTTCATCAGGTGATATCAGACCTACATTATTTATATCATTAAATTGATCTGTATATATTGCATTACTATATTCTAGCAGGGCAGAGAAAAGAATGGAATGCAGATATCTCCAGACCTTTATGGCTACTATTACGGTTTTGTGTGATACAATCTTGCATGAAATCACCTTTTTACTCCAGACATTGTATTACATTTCTTTTCTTGAAGTGCTTTCTTCTTCTAATTTGGCATATATGTGAATATATGTATAACAACAATAAATAATGTAAGTCTACAAAACAGGTCAATGAAAAATTAAGCCCAAGGAGGAATTTGTAAATGATCTGGCTGAGGAATCTGTGGATGATTCCACTCATCATTTTTACGTAAAATTTTACAACTGAGCGTCTGAGCATCCAACCTTTGACAGAATATAACCATTCAAAAATGTATGCTTAACAGTTTGGTAGTGCTCTTTCCTTTGGAAATATTCTCTCTTCATATTTATGAAACAGCTTAAGCAATCAAATGTACAAATGATGTCCAATTATTCTGATTTTAGCTGATGCACCTCACGTTCTTTCAACAATTTTTCACAGAGGTGGATATCAGTAGAGGCCCGGCTACTAGTTTTTTACTGAAAAATACTGTGATGATATGTAAATCTTTTGAAAGATTTTTTTTTTTTTAAATAAAAAACTGGAATATGGCAAATTAACATTTCTTACATCATTTGCAGAGATAGAGAACACCATATGCCATGTAACTACAAAATATAGGATATTCTAATTGTTGATTTTTTAATAATTATGATTAGATTGTAATGATTTTTCACAGTCAGTTCACCAAAGGCAGTTACAAATATACTCTTTCATATGCTCGTTTGTACAATGCTGTGTCTTGTGCGTAACTGTGTCCCGCAGAATAGGGCATTAAGTCTCTCTTAATGCAAAGAAAGATTAATTTAAAGACATAAATTGATATATTGTTTTATAATAATATAGATTGCATATACTATTTTGTAAAAATATTCTTAGTGTTGCAACATGATCTTTGTAGCTGATAGTACGCACAAGAATCTACTGTTCTACCATCTTGATCTTAGTCCTAAAGATTTAAATTCCTTACCTGGAAAGAGCCCCCAATAACTTCAATACTGACTACCCTGCCTACAGCATTTGGAACCACTTGTCCTGTTTAATTAGGGCCAGCACCTTTGCTTATACTTATTCTCACTGACCTCTGCCTTGATGTGTCTGGGGTTCACTTTGCTACAACCTGGGATGAGGTTTCCACTGGAGATTGAGGACAGGACTGGAAAACAGATGCTAAAAGGAGTCTAAGAATAAATAAAGAAATGGAGGTACATGGGGAAGACAACACTGACGGAGAGGAGCTGCATAAACAGAGATGAAGGTTGCAACATAGCAACAAATTTCCAAATTAGCAGAACAGCAGACATAAGGCTTCTGACCTCATGGGTGTAACAAAAGTGGTTTCAGAGAAAACCAACAAAATTGGTGGATTCTAAATGTAAAAAAAAATAGAAAAAAAGAAAGAAAAAGAAAACCACCACATATGGCCTCTCATGTTTAGATTATTTGTTTACATCTGAAGTGAGAGATGAAAGACAAACAAGAAAGAAAAAAAGGTGAATCTGACCTTATAGAGACCAAAAAAGAAGAGAAACAAGGTGACGAATGACAGTGCATGATGCTGATGATAATCATGTTCTGGGCGCTTCAGCAATTCAACACACCAAGGATTAAACTAGGTTAATTCCTGCAGTTAGCAAAATTATTTCCTGGAAAACTCTAATCCTGCTGGTAAGATGACATTATCCAAAGGTTATAGTCCTATACCCAGAGTGGAACATTTTGTACAGTCATCAGCCCACTGACTGCAATGCACAACAATTATCCTAGAAAACATCAGCTGTACATATTCACATGAATTACTTTTGTGGGTTTCAAGATTACTCGGACCAGTGCTGCTCAGCAGCATGAGAGGTCTGCCTCTATATAGTCTGCCTCCACTGTATTGCACTGGCTTCCTCTGTAAGATTTGGACTAAATCTGCTCTTTGGTAATTGGTTTTGAGTTTTGCTGCTAGAAGAAGACATATTCTGTTCAATATGAATTTAAGTAAACTCAAAATGAAGTACTTTTTGAAAAAATACTGTATTGGAAAAATTTAAAAGTTATTAAAATAAGCTTATTTTAAATGGAATTGAAAATCTAAAATACTGTGATAAAGGATACTTGAAAAAATATCCCCAAATTCAATGACAATTCCATTTTTGTGAACCTGCTATGCAACTCCCATGGCTAAGTCATACCAGACAAACTGGATGACAGCCAGTACCTACATCCCTACTGGCTGCATGAAACAAAGAGGATGCAGAGATGCAGCTTAACAGCTGATCCTCAACAGTTAGAAAAACATTTAATAATTTGTTCCCTTCTGCATATCTTTACACCATCAGAGAACACAAGGTTCCTGGTAATCCTGTTGAACATTCCCAAAGGATTACAACAACATTTGCCTTATTACCTACTGTTCTTTGCTTTGTTTGTAGGTGTCACACCACATCAGAAAAATAATGTTGTTAGTCAATGGGGCTACATTATCTGTGACTTCAAATTGCATTCAAGACACACAGCATGGCTTCAACAAGGAAAATCCTGCCTGACCAATCTAGTGGCCTCCTAGAGTCAAGCAACTACAACAGTGGACAAGGGAAGGGCTACAGGCGTCATTGATCTGGACTTCTGCAAGGTTCCTTCAAGCTCCCTCTCTCTAAATTGGAGTGAGATAGATTTGATGGGTGAAAAGGGAACTGGTTGGATAGTCATATCCAGAGGGTAGCTGAAAACAGCTCAGAGTCCTGATGGACATCAGTAACAAGTGGTGACCCTCAGGGGTCTGTTTTGGGACCAGTGTTATTTAACTATTTAATATCTTAATAATGACACAGATGAATGGATCAAGTGCACCCTCAGTAAATTTGTAGATGACACCAAGCTAAGCAGTGGTGTTGACACACCTGAAGGACAGGATGCCATCCAGAGGGACCTGGACAAGCTCAAGAAGTGGACCCATGGGAATTTCATGAGGTTTAATAGGACCAAGTGCAATTTGCTGCACCTGGCTTGGGGTGACCACCAATATCAATACAGGCTGAGGGATGAACACACTGAGAACAGCCCTGCCAAGAAGGATTTGGGGGTGCTGGTGAATGAGAGGCTGGACATGACCCAGCAATGTGCACTTGCAGTCCAGAAACTTACTCATATCCTGGACTGCATTAAAAGTAGTGTGGCCAGAAGGTCAGAGGAGGTAATTCTACTCTTGCTCTGGTGAAACCCCACCTGGAGTACTGCACCAGCTTTGGTGTCCCCCAGGAAGGGCATGGACCTGTTGGACAAGTCCATAGGAGGGCCACGAACAAGGTCAGAGGCCTGGAACACCTCTCCCACTAAGAGGGGCTTAGAACATTGGGTTTGTTCAGTCTCTAGAAAAAAACACTGAGGAGATTGTGGAACAGCCTGTCAGTATCTAGAGGGGAACTATATAAAAGATGGTGACAAACTTTTTAGTAGGACTTGTTGTGGTAGGAAGAGGGTAGATTCAGACAAGATATAAAAAGCACATTTTTTATATGGAGGATGGGGAATCACTGTCACAGTTTGCCCAGAGAGAGAGACAGTCAATGCCCCATCCCTGGAAACACTCCAGGTCAGGTCGGACAGGGCTCTGAGCAACCAATCTAGTTGAGGCTCACTGCAGGGCAGTTTAGATAGAAAACCTTTAAAGGTCTCTTCCAACCCATGCTATTTCACAGTTTTATTAAATAATATAGTTATTTACTCAGTTTATTTTCAGTATTTACTCACTAAGTAATGTATATACAGTCTGTGATGAAATAGTCCTTTCTGTCTTTTAAGTGTATAGCCCCAGCCTGCCATAGAAGGAAAGCAGAGCCAATATTTTTCTTTGCTCTCCTGCAACTGTGATCTCTGATACAGTCTGCAGTTGTCTATAGTTATGGCAGAAATGAGCCTGTCTCAGAGTTTCTCTAATTACTCATAAGCCATACAGCTATTTTAGAGATAGCAACTTTCATTGCTAAGGTTATGTATCCCTTCATGAAAAATATGAAGTCAGACTCTCAAAGAAAAGAAATGCATTGTGGATTGCTTTGACACATGTAAGACTTTCACTTTGCATAAAAAATATATTTCTATGAGAATTCATGTCACACTCCTTTGAGATAATTAAACTCCTTCAAAGTTGCTATACCTTTTATTCAAAACAAAACTGCTGAAGAGAAATTAATGGTGACAAACCCTGAATTTTTAGTACAATTCCACCATTGCTTTTACTTGACACTCCTTGTGTTTGACTTCCATAGTCGTGAAGGTGTCAAGGCATAATCCTTTATCAGCATCACTGGGAGCTTGGTTTAAGAGAAATTTTGAGGCA